CAAATTTCTGACCTATAGCATCCGTAATCGACGGGCTTTTCAAAATGAATACTCACCGTAGGTAGCCCTTGACTATTTTTAAAGTGCTATTTGAGTGCTCGTTATCAGTTGATGTGACTGGAATTGTACATGCAATTCGCAACAACAGGTGGATATTCGGAAAGATGTCGGGATCACAAGCCTGTAGATAGACAGAAAATATAACTAATAAAGCTGTCATTTGTTAACCTAGGGAAATTTTTAATATAAACAAATTGATTTACTTCGAACCTGTAAGGCAGGTGGAAGCGCATCTGGTTTGTCCGTCTAGGAATTGCCATTTTCTCATCTAACGATCGTATTCAATGTCGAGAGTCTGTGGGCTTGGGAGATCTGACATATACACCTCGGGAACTTCAGCTATGTCTACGTTTGTGCCCGCTACAATGGAGCTCTGCACAAGACCAAGCAATTGTACGGCAGTCTTCTGAGTGGACCCAAATCTGGCAACAAAAAAGAAACCTGTGATGAATAAATTTGTTTGATCAATCATTCATTATATCTGTAAATATTTAACGTTAAGTAAACAGCCGAGCGTTTGATAATTTATATAGATTACCTTGAAGACATTTCTTGTGTGATATGGTCAAGGAATGGAATGAAAAGATTGCGGTGGTAGTGTTCCTCAGATCTGTCATGGGATGCATTTGCCCTACGCTGTTGTCTTGACGCCGTTCTTGGAGCGCTTGGTTCCGTACCCAGCTCTGAACTGATCTACAAGGTATATGCGTACCATCTTTTGAAGACAACATCATTCTTGTCTCGCTATTCTTTCAACTCCTTCTCCGTCTCCGTCTCCGAAATCATATTGTAGGCTTTAGCAATGTCATTAGACCTTTTTTTTATAGCTTTACGCTAATCAGCTTCATGACTGCCAGAATTTTCATCGTGACCGTCAAGGATATGGTGTTGCTGTTCACCTAAAATGACCTCAAACGTTTTAACAACTGATGGAAGTAACTGGACAAAAGTTTCATACACCTCATGACGCTCCACCCATCGAGTACGGCAAAGGTCGCGAATCTTGGTTCTTTGAGACTTTGGCTGATCCAGGCTTGCCACTTTTTCCAAGCACCTCTGCCGCTTAGGGGAACAATTAAAGAAGTTTGCACATTCTGTAATTGTGCCAGTCATGTTGCGAACTGATGGCAAGCTGCTTAACTAATCACAGATTATTGCACGTTGATAAGCTGACTGACAAACGAAGGCCGGAACCCTGATTTAGTAATTTCCGAAAATGACCACTTTGGGCGCTAGGAGAGTGAATAACAAACCTGTTGTTTTACCAAGTGGCCAAATAATAAAGAAGCGCTTATATATGACGAATTTTAGACCGGCATTTTGTTTCGTTCACTTATGTTTTCTCCTCAGAAACCGCACGTGTTAGAATGTTTTTCCTTTAAGTTTAGGGGGTTTGATCGAACCACCCCTAGATCCGCCCCAGGGTTCAAAAAGATTTTCTTTCACAACTATGAACGGGTCGTGCAAACGAAAAATATATGATAAATGATCTAAAGAAAATGAAAAATTATGTGCCATACACATAGCTCTTTAGGGTGTTTTTTTTTTCGTCTTCACTTACCGAACGACCTAAATTATATTAAGACCGATTCAGGTGAGATGCCGTTCTGAAAAGTTTGAAATTTTTATCTCATAATCTTCTTAATCATTTCTCCCTCAAGTATTAAGTGTTGCAAGCGAACAATGGAAGTCTTGGCGACATGCAAAAATAAATCACTTTTAGGGGAAATAGGGGTAAAATGGGTAAGCGGTAACTCCTGTCCACTATTCTTGATTAAAAAGGAGAGGAAATGCTTCTTTTCTATGATATTTAATCACAGCTAATTATAAAAAAAATTTATGTCGAAGTTCAACCAGTAACAATAAGATAGCCTTGAGCGAAAAGGGAGCAGGGAAGGCGCAAAGTGAAAGCGCTCACCTCCCACCCTAATGGTCTGGGTTCGACTCCCAAACCTGTTGTCACATGTGAGTTGAGTTTGTTGTTGGTTCCCGTCCTTACTCCGAAGGTTTTACTCCGGATCCTCCGGTTTTCCTCCCTCCGCAAGCACCATCTTTTCAAATTCCAACTCGAGATAAGAGGGTTACAAAGTGAAAGATTAGCAGCTAAAGAAGACAAAGCCTCCAGCTCTCGCGCGTGTCTCACCCCTCGCGATCGTCTCGTGCTTATAATAACCTCCGCTTGACTGATAAAACGCCATGCAAAAAAAAAACACTAGTGAATTGCTCGGTGTCTAGAATGGTGAAATTAGATCGCTTCTTCTTACGTAGCCGCTGCCATGGAACTTAGGACACTCGATGTTTTTTTAAGTAAATGCACAACAGCTCTTCGTCACTCGGGTTGTACATCTTCCATGACTCAACTCAACCAGAAAGAATTTGAATATTACACGACACCCGGCGATTTTCGCTTAAATTCGTCCATTAACTCGACCAGGGTAACAAGAGTACATTTTCTAATATCAGAAGACACGGAAACAGTTCCTTAGGAGTTCCTCATAATTAGCGTGATCGTGTTACTTTGCTATCGTGATTGTACGAGTTGTTGTTGAGTCGCAATGACGGGGAAACCAGCTACAGACCACAACAAGCTTTTACGAAGGCAACAAGGACTCTTGACCTGTCTTTTCTTATCTTTAATATTCTTTAATTCTCTCGGTTCACTTCGATTTGGGTAATGCTGGTCGTTTGAATCTACCTCTGATCAATCTATCTTTGATTCACACTCGTCTACACATCATTGACCTCTAACCTCTGAAAACTATGTGAACTCTAAAGTACGTGTTTATACATTCTATATCGGTAGGTATGCTAGCAAACTGACCTTTGAAGATTAAACATTTGTTATCACATTTGTTATCAAAACAGAAACCCAGTCTCACTTTTGCAAGAATCTCACAAATTAAAAACAACGCACGTAATGCTTTCGATCAACCGAATCAATCTTTGACTACGTAAGCCAAAACAAAAACTTTCTAGTGGGTCCAGAACAAGGTCAGTGGACGATAAAGGCGATAAGTAACTTTAGTTAAATGTATATTGGCCGCTCTACGCGGAACAGGTTTTCTCATCCCTGTGATTCTTTTGAACGGCAAAAGCTTGGATTCTAAACCTTGCATTTTAGCAATAGTTACAGTTACTACATAACCCTCTAGTTTGTAATTTTAAAAATACCTCTATTTCCAAAGGAAATCATGCGACTATTTCTTAGTAATATTCAAGGGCCTTAATGCAATCATATATTCAAGCAGTACTCTACATATATATAACTGATATAACTGATTACATGGTGTCTTTAACCCTTTACACTCCAATATCAGAATGCATATTCTCCAAACTGTTCTCTATATATTTCCTTATGTGCTGGCAAGGAGAATTTGTTTAACAATCAAGAGGATCTTCAGTTGATTATCATTTCCTTTATTCTCATGACCTCAATGTGTGACTCAGGGGTGATATTGAATGGAGAAATTAGATGCCAGTCACTCTCAGGGATTTAAGTGTTATTAGCTGTACACATTTCCATGTATATGCTCCTCACATTTGTTAGCAACAATAGTTAAGATTGTTAGGAAAGCAAACAAACAAGTGAACAGAAGACAGTGAAATAAGGGAAACTGTAAACTTTACCATGTGATCGAAAAAAATCACAGAATACTTAAAGAGGGGAAACTTGAACTGTGCTAGCTAATTTCCTCTATTGCCATTCATGTTTTTGATCAAATAAAGTTTAACCCTTTAACTCCCAGTTCAAATTTGTAATTCTCCTTACTGTCAACTATACAATTCTTATAATGTTAGTTCTAAGAATTTAGTATTGGATCAACTAATTATTCTCAAGTGTATATTTTTCTTTATTCTCATCACTTATCTTCAAATATTTTTCAACTTTGTATTAATTGTAGCTGTTTACTATGTCTTAATTCTCTGTACCA